TGCCTTTCCGAATACCATGTTCGGGTTCGGCTCCACCCCTACATTAAAGGAAACTTTCTTATTTCCATACTGATGAAAGGATCATGCTTTCATTTCATGCTGGATTTATTGAGTCACACTGTTGGAGAAATTGATTGTCATTAATAAAAACAATTTATGTCTAAAGAATAAAAATTAAAAACAAGTGTCTATAGACTGTTAACACATGACCTATACAACCTGCCAAACTGTTTCATGTTGTAATCTTTTAAGCTCACAGAGTCCTAGTAGACTCTGGCAGCTGTAATTGCAGCAAAAGTTGGTTCTACAAAGTATTGACTCAGGGGGCTGAATAATTACACACACCACACTTTTCAGTTATTTATTTGTAAAAAATTGATTCGAATCATGTATGATTTTCGTTCCACTTATCACGTGTACACCACTTTGTGTTGGTCTTTCACGCGGAATTCCAATAAAATTGATTCATGTTTGTGGCTGTGATGTGACAAAATGTAGAAAAGTTCAAGGGGGCCGAATACTTTTACAAGCCACTGTATAACAGAGTGGATTGCTTTGGATCGGAAGGAACACACCATGGCCCTTTCTCAATTCTCAAGTACGCGAGTTCATGCTTGCGTTCCCGGCGAGTCCGGACTTGCCGAGAATGCACGGGAGTACAGACTTGCCGAGAATGCGAGCATGGACTTGCGATTTGTACAATTGGAATACCAGCCTACTTGATGATGTCACAGGTCAAGTGTTTTTACTGCTATCCCCTCTTAATTTAACTGTGAGTAATATGTTATGAAGCTTAACTTTAATCACAGCCAAACCGACTTACTCAGGAACAAATAAAACACTGAAATTGTCACGGCCTGGGGAATCGGCCTTTTCCTCCTTTTCGCTCTCTCTCTCTCTCTCCTCCCCTCTGTCGCCGGGGTGGAACTCATTGTGGGTTCACGCCCTTGGCCCATGCCCACGGAAAGGAACACACCTGATGCCCATCAAGGTAAATGGCATTTAAGCCAGGAGGTGACTGCTGGTCTTCGCTGGATCGTTGTCTACCATGCGTCACTGAAAGTCAAGCTACAGCTCAAGATAAGTCAAGTGTCTTTGTGAATTCCGTACTCATTCCTGTTTCCTTGTCTACAGACCCCCTGGATTACCTTTCCCGTGTCAATCTGTGTGTCAAGTGTGAAGAACGGAACTACAGTCGTGTATGTGGAGAGTTGGAGAGCAAGTGATTCCCCCCTTTGGATTTCCCCGGTGCCCTGTCCCTCACATTGTTGTATATAGCACTGCCCTGCACTTCCTGTATATACACCTGGTAAACTCTGTAAATAAATCCTTGTGGTCAGCTGATTCAGGAGTCCTGCATTTGAGTCCCCTGCATTGAACCTTAACAGAAATACCCTAAACATTAACATTTAGAAGTGATCTAAGTGACTTATATATCAAGTTTAACCTCAGTAGCGAAATCTCTATTAATAAAAATAGTGTACATATATGCCTTAATAAAAACAAGCAGGTGATATGCTAAAATGCTGTTATTTTTATGTTAGTGGACACTAAATACAATAGACAGCTGTTGGGGTTTGTTTAAACTCAGTAGCTAAAAGACCACGGGGGGGTTGAAAACGATGTGCCGGGAGTCCGCTGTTCTTGCCGGCTCTAGTGATCCTCGACCTCGGGGTCTGCTATGGAGCTGGCGAGTCGCAGTCGTCTCCGAAAACGTCGGAGCAGGTTTGGAAATACATGATAAATCGAGCAGATATTTGAAGTTTACACAGCTACATTCAGGCTTGAAAAATAACATAAAGGTTTATTTTGTGACCCAGCAAGAGTAATATTTAAAAGTTTTTAGCCACACTTGTCCGCCATTGCCTCGTTTCATTGTTGTGTCTGATACTTAGAACTGTGAGGAAGAATGCTACACAGTTAATCAGGGTCCCCTCTCTCTGAATTAGGAAAGGTCGGCAGGCCAATCGAGACCCTGTGGAGGGCCGCGGGCCATACGTAGAGTATCACTGTTTGAAATGTGAACATTGTTGTGTTGTCAATGGACTAAACCAGAGAAGAAGAAAACAGACTTTACCATGAAGATCCTCAGTGTGGATCAGTATAATATCAGCCTTATGTCTGCAGTTTAGTGTCAGCACAACTTTCACATCATATTCATCTCAGCACAACTAAAACATGGTGACTGACCTCAGATTTTCAAGTCTACATCCTGGACTCTCCAGAAAACCACACAGCTCCTTCACTCCTGAATCCTGCAGCTTGTTGTAGCCAAGGTCCAGCTCTCTCAGATGGGAGGGGTTGGACTTCAGCGCTGCTGCCAGATAATCACAGCTGATCTTTGACAAACCACAGTCCATCAATCTGTATAAAGATTGAAAGATGTAAGTTTATTAGACAAAGTGTGAGCTTGTAATCATTCAGTGTTTCATAATGTGTTCAAAGCTGAAGAAGTTTCAGAATGCAAAAGTTTAGAAAATGGAAACTCCAAACAGTTGAAGCCAACAGGAAGCAGCTTCAAACAAACACAACAAGAGAAAAAACTGACTGTTTCACATTAAAGTCGTACATTTATCATAAAAACGTGAAAATTTGTTGGTTTTACTGTATAGAAAAAAAACTGAACAAGAAACATCAGAGTCCAAAATAAGAAAACTATCAGTTCAAGAGACCGACAGTGGGACTGTGATGAAGGCTCTACACTAAAATAAGACTACTTGAATACTTGAAATAAGTATTCGTAAAAAACACATTATTTGTGCCTTTCCGAATACCATGTTCGGGTTCGGCTCCACCCCTACATTAAAGGAAACTTTCTTATTTCCATACTGATGAAAGGATCATGCTTTCATTTCATGCTGATTTATTGAGTCACACTGTTGGAGAAACTCCCCAGTTTAGTCATTAATAAAAACAATTTATGTCTAAAGAATAAAAATTAAAAACAAGTGCCTATAGACTGTTAGCACATGACCTCCTGAACCTGTCAAACTGTTATTATAATCTGCTGCTGTTTGGGGCACATGCACAGCTGGATTTTGTACTGGAAATGTTCTGCAGACAAGTCCACGCTCACAAAACACAGCTGAAGCGAATCCCATATCAAAGCTCAGAATCAGCAGCCCCTACCTTGCTTTCTTTGAACAACAATTTTTAGCTGCTGTGTTTTTGTGTTTCTGCAGACTTCAGACATCCTGCTGCTCTGGAGAACTGAAGCTCTAAAGGGCTCAGATTTTATCTCCAAGAAACAAAGCTGATCATTGAGACCCAGCAGGTCAGTTGATCTGTGGACAGCACCAGCATCTTTAACTAAGTGTGAGAGGTAAGCAGTCTTTGGAAGCCTTTACTGTCTGACAGGGAGGTTTAAACAATGGCTCAGAGCAGGATTTGGATCATTATTTTGTTTTTCTTCTATTATTATGTTTAGCTTCTGCTTCACAGATATTCTCTGAGATATTCTCTGAAATGTTTTCCACTGTTGGACAAACTTTCACAGTTTCTTCATAAAGGAGATCTTCTGTGGAGTCTATCTGTGATAGTATATTAAAAACGGAATTATAATTCATATGTGAATGCACTGACTGTTAATGGAACACATCTACAGTGCTGGAAGTGCCTATCTCACCACCAACCTCTCTGTGTACATTCACTTTTTAACCCTTTGTGAAACAATAAAGGTGTAAATTTGAGTTTTAATCTATGTTAGTGCAAAATCCTCTAATAGGTTGCTTTAGCCTTTTCAAGTAACGTCTTCCATTGCAGTCTGTGTTCCAGACTTCTAAAAACATCCTAGTTTAACAAGCACTACAATCTAGAGGAGAGCAGTACTAACAGGTGTGATTGAAAAAATCCGACCTGAAATGATACTCATGTTTATTTGTATAGCAGGGAAGACCTGGACATCAAGTCTGTCAGGCTGCCCGAGTCCCTCACCCACATCAGCTCAGAACTCTGCATTATCTGCTGAGTCAGACTCAAAGGATCAGGGATCAGAGGTTCTACAGAGAGGATAACAAGACTTCCTTTATAGGGGTCTGTGGGCTTATTGATGCGCAGCACAACTTTCACGTAATAGTTATCTCAGCACAACTAAAACATGGTGACTGACCTCAGAGTTTCAAATCGACATCGTGGATTCTCCAGAAGAACACAAAGCTGCTTCACTCCTGAATCCTGCAGGTTGTTGTAGTTTCCACTCAGGTCCAGTACTCTGGGATACGAGGGGTTGGACTTCAAAGCTGCTGCCAGATAATCACAGCTGATCTCTGACAAACCACAGCCCCTCAAACTGTATAAAGAATGAAAGATCTAAGTTTATTAGATAAAGTGTGTTCTTGAAATCATTCAGTGTTTCATAATCTGTTCAGAAGAAGGTTAAGAATGTAGAAGTTTAGAAAATGGAAACTCCAAACAGCTGAAACAAACACGAAGCAGCTTCAAACAAACACAACAAGAGAAAAACTCTGAATGTTTCATATTAAAGTTGTACATTTATCATAAAAACATGAACAATTGTTGGTTTTACCGTGTGAAATTAAAAAAAATTTGAACAAGAAACATCAGAGTCCAAAAAAAACCAAAAAACCTTCCAGTTCAGGAGGCCGACAGTGGGACTGTGGTGAAGGCTCTACAATAAAGCTGCACAAAAAAGCTGAAGTTTGAAGTTGAATCTGTGAAGCTGTGAAGCTGCGAGTAAAAGAGCTCCAGCATCTGTCACATTAGAGGAAACTTTCTTCTTTCCACATTGATGAAAGCATCCTGAGTAGTAATATACCTGCACTTGTCAGTAAAAAAAAAGGTGTTTAAAAATCCTCGTTCTAATGATGTCTGACCAATCATTTTATTTAAAAAACAACTCTAACCCAGTTTTCATCTGCATGGGAAATGTATTTTTCTTTACTGTTCATACTGTTTATTTTAATCACACCTCATTTTACGGATCTACGTGGGTTTTCCATCTGTAGGTGATTCGATCATTTAATTAAAAAAAAAAACAAAAAAAACGGTTCTAATAGGACTTTCTTCTGTGTGGGAAAGTTCGTGTTTCATGACTGTTCATAAGAGTTTTAAAAAAATCGGAATTTTGGAATGCTCCGAGAGGAAGACAGAGCACGTCAGTTTTTAAACGCACCGGAATACTGCAAATAACATTCACCCTTTAGAAATAAAACGCTGTTGCGACACTTCTAAAAATACCCAAAATATCCTTTATTATTTTGCCCATGTAGAAAGCAGTGTTTGTTTCGTCTGAAGGGTTCATTATTTGAACATCCTCAGGGGGAGGAGGATGCAGGATTTTTGCAAAGTCTTGAGAATGCAGCTAAAGCAGCACCCTGGCTATTGTGTAAAATAGCTAATGGCTTCACGGTGTGTTTTCTGTATTTTGCACGTTGTTTGAAACTCCTCAGCACAGCAGAAGGACGCAAGGTATACGATTTTAACTAGTTTGGACCCCAGACACAGCGGTGCCACACAGTGTGAGCTAGTTAGCAGCGTCACAGTGCACTTCCTTTAATTTGACTTATTGTAAGTTATAATGTTTTTCTTAAACCGTTCTTAAACCATATATAATTTTTATAGACACGTTGTTCATTGTATGAATGTGTAATTTATGCATCTTTGATAAATACAACACTTAATCATGTATTTGTGTACTTTATGGTTACTGAATAAAAATTGGTGACACATTGCACCGATAAACACAGATGGTAAAAAGGAAACAAGTGTTATGCTGCTAAACTTTGAGATTCTAAGTCACCAACAATTAAATAATAAAATGCCAAGAGGAAACTAGCAGGTTTGAGTCTGTATGTAAAACGTGGAAAATCCACATCAGTGATACATGTTCTTACATAGGTGCACTTATTCTTTGTTATGGTACTTGTTAGGGAGTTTTTATTGTTTTATTTGCTTATGCTTCAAAAGATATGTTATTCATATTTCACCAGACATAGTTTTCTGTAGAAACAGGAAGCTGACCCTGTGACACTGGGATTTACCGCAAGAGACCAGCACAGAAATACATATCCGCAGAAGTTGACTTGCATTATATTATTCTTAGAAATTGACTTGCAACACACATACTTTGTGACACACACACACAGCTTAGACACAGCTTACGCACAGACAGCATCAGGACCTGCGTAACAGGAAATGTGATTATATTTGCATATTGACGATGTAACCTATAAAAATAAACGAATACTGCAGTTCGGGGTGATTTGCTCTGAGCTTTTCACCCATGCCGCACGTTGTCAATCTTGAGTGTCTCTGTGTTGTTTACTCACCTGACTGTTTGTTAACTGTAAATCTCTGACAGTACTTTAATCCTCCAATTAAACAAGAAGATCTCATTTTAAAGTACTTTTTTTTGACCATCCTGTGGTCTCATTTGCCACATTCTCTTAATATCTCAGAGCTATTTCCCGGGTTCAGAATGTTGATGTTAGATTCTGTTTTAAATCAGGTTGTGATCTTAAAGTCACTCTCTCTGCACTAATTTTAGAGTAATGTGCAACAGTTGTAATGTTAATTACAAGGTCCAAACTGCCCTTTACTCTAGTGAGGGATATGGTGAATTTTAAGTTGTTCTTTTGTGTGATTGCACACTGCCCATCACAGGACCATAGTGAGCTGTACAGCAGAATTTTCAATTAACCTTTTTCTATACATCACCAAATTACAACAACAGTCACCTGTTAGTGAGACTGTTAGTCACACAATGGTGGACAGAATCTAGTTTTTGAATTTACAAAAATAAAATGACTCAACTAACATTTATGTTTTTTAAAATTGTTATTACACATTTTTTCAGTGCTCTTACATCTATGACAAAGTGTGTATGGACTGTATGGGTGCAGCTGTACCTTAACTGTTAAGCTCACCCTTTTAACATGATGTCTGTGTGCATTTCCTTACATAATATCAGTATGGCAACGAGTTTATGAATGATCTGTTTTTCTTTTCTCAAAGACAGAAAACATCACGATATGTGAAGTTACAGCACAGCCTCTCCAAATGCGTACTTCTTTTTCGGTCAGGGTGCTTTTAGAGCATCTACATTACCTCATGTATTCAAGTACAATCAGTGAGTGTACTTTAATATTTGAGATTCCAATCGAGTCTTGCTTAGATCATGTGAACAATTTCATGGACCTTTTTTGTATAATGCATCAAACTTATGGAAATCTTTTTTAATATACTTCTCACACCTTAAACTACAGTCATGGCAAGTTTTGAGAATGACACAAATATTAGTTTTAACAAAGTTTGCTGCTAAACTTCTTTTAGATCTTTGTTTCAGTTGTTTCTGTGATGTACAGAAATATGATGACAAGCACTTCAAGGCATTTATCGACAAGCACTTCAAGGCATTTATCGACAATTACATGACATTTATGCAAAGAGTCAGTATTTACAGTGTTGGCCCTTTTTTTTTCAGGACCTCTGCAATTCGGCTGGGCATGCTCTCAATCAACTTCTGGGCCAATTTCTGACTGATAGCAACCCATTCTTTCATAATCACTTCTTGGAGTTTGTCAGAATTAGTGGGTTTTTGTTTGTCCATCTGCCTCTTGAGGATTGACCACAATTTGATTTTCCAGGCCATGGACCCAAAATTTCAACGTTGTGGTCCCTGAGCCACTTAGTTATCACTTTTGCCTTATGGCACGGTGCTCCATCGTACTGGAAAATCCATTGTTCTTCACCAAACTGTTGTTTGGATCGTTAAACGAAGTTGCTGTTGGAAGGTGTCTGTCTCGAGTCTACGGATGTATCCGTGTATTTCCGTGGTGCTGATGCTGTGCTGAGCAGACAGCTCCTGAAGCATTTGAAGTGTCGAAATGTGGAAAGCTAACAACGTCCCTCTCACCAGTAGGCTAAGTTATTTTTAGCCAATTACAAGTTGAATCTATAATAATAATAATAATAATAATTCCTTTTATTTGAGGGCGCCTTTCAAAAACCCAAGGTCACCTTACAAAAACCAAAATTAATAAAAGGAACAGTAGTCATAAAATACATAAAATAAGTTAAAATTACAAAACGTTTGCTATTTTTATTACAGTTTTATTACTGTTAAGTTTGAGAAAATTGGTGGAGAACCAGGATCTAATCTCAATAAGACAGTTTGAGAGGGAGGTAGGTGGGAGGGATGAATTGGGTTTAGAAGAAAGGTAGAGCTGGGTGTCATCAGCATAACAGTGAAAATTTATATTGTATTTTCGGAATATATAACTAAGAGGGAGCATATAAATAATGAATAGAAGAGGCCCTAATACTGAACCCTGGGGCACACCAGCAGATACAGGATAGAGAGTTGAAGAATGGGATTTAAATTGGATAAACTGAGTGAGGTCTGAGAGATAGGAGGTGAACCAGGCAAGGGGGTATGACTAATACCAATGGAAGCTAACCGGTTCAGGAGAATATTGTGAGAAATGGTATCAAATGCCGCACTAAGATCAAGAAGGATGAGGATCGATAGGAGACCAGAATCAGCTGCCATCAGAAGGTCAGTGGTAATTCTTAACAGAGCAGTTTCTGTGCTGTGATTGGGGCGGAAACCAGATTGAAATTGTTCATAGAGCTTATGGTCATTGAGATGTAAATGAAGCTGGGTGGCGACAACTTTTTCAAGAATTTTTGAAATAAAGGGGAGATTTGATATAGGGCGAAGATTGTCAAAGTTATTGGGGTCTGCACCAGGCTTTTTGAGAATTGGAATAACAGAAGCCTTTTTCAGTGCTTCAGGAACAATTCCAGTGTTCAGGGAGGAATGAATAATATTGGTTATGAGAGGTGCTAACGAGGGAAGACAGGCCTTTACTAACACAGTAGGGAAAGGGTCAAGTTGACAGGTAGATGACTTAGATTTTTTAATGAGATTAGATACATCAGTTATGGAGGGAAGAGTAAAGCTTGAAAATAACTGACAGGAAGACAGTGGGGGAACCAGGAAGTCTACTTCAGAGTCGGGAGCTCCTAAAGAGTTAAGTTGACAGTGAATGTCTGAGATTTTAGAAGTGAAAAAAGAGATAAGAGAATTGCAAAAATCAACAGAATACATGTGGGAAGGGAATGTCTCTGGAGGCTTTGTAATTTTACTGAACAATGAATAGAGGGACCTGGAGTTACCTTCATTAGAACTAATTAAACCAGAGTAGTAAGCAGATTTGGCTGAGGCAATGCAGTCCTTATAGAACAGAACATGATCATTGTGCATTTCTTTATGTACAGTAAGTCCGGTTTTGTTGAATAGATGTTCGAGTTGGCGTTCTTTAGCTTTAAGGTGACGCAGGTCGGAGGTAAACCATGGAGCTGAATGGGAAAATGAGACAGTTCGTTTAAGGGGAGCAAATATATTAAGAAGGTTATGGAGGTTGACATTATAATGACAAATGAGTTCATGAGGGGTTGAGGAGCAGTGGATAGATGGAAGGTTTTGGACGGCAGATGAAAAAACAGCTGGGTTGATATTACAAATTTTCCTAAAAGTGATATTACGAGAGATACCGGTTTTGGAAGCGGTTATGTTTGCATCAAAAGAAATAAACATATGATCAGACTGGGGAAACAATGTGGCTTTACAATGGGTGGGGGAATGCCAGAACAACAGACCAAATCCAGGATATGACCTTTAGAGTGGGTAGGAAATTTTATGTACTGTAGAAGCCCAAAACTTTCCAGGCAGGAGGTAAAATCTCTGGAAAGAGGGATTTTTTCCATTGTCCATATGAATATTGAAGTCACCAGCAATTATCAGATTTGGAGAAAGTACAGAGAAATGAGTGAGAAAATGAGTGAGAAAAGCAGAAATTTCATTTAAAGAGCAGAAAATTCATTTAAAAACTCCTTGTTTGGCTTAGGTGGCCGATAAACAGTACATATGATGGTGGGGGTAGATCCAGGGAGCTGTAGTGCAATGTATG